ATCCGTAACTGCGTGCGTTTTTAAACGAATATCGGTACTCTCGTGCTTTCAAGGTGAATTGGAACGTGCAAAAATGCAGAATTCAAAATATACCATGTTGTTTGTTTTTTCAGAAAATTTATCATTTTCGATATTTCGTTGTATTTGTGAAAGCAGAATAGCGTGACGATTTTAATCTTAAACTGTTCTTGTTATTGATTGTTGTAAAAATATTTATTTTACGGTTTTTAAAAGAGTTTAATAACTAATAGAATCAATTATAATCATTATGATTATAAACGGTATTATTGTAAATAATATCACTGCAAATGATGCGATAACAAACAGCATAATAGATTGTAAACGTTGATTGAAATAAAATATTACATTCTGTAGACCTAAATAATTTCAATTAATCTAAATTATTTCAATCAATATTTATTTTGGCCAACTGTTTGAAGAAAACGTACCATTGAGTTACAGTGGTCATTGTTCTCAAAAAGTTCGCAGGATTTAATGTTCATTTCATTTAATGATAAGTTCACAGGCCACAATTTATAGAAATCGGCACGTTTTGGTTTTTCAGGTTGTCGAATTCGAATAAGTTATAAAAAAGAGCAAAATTCGCACAAGCACAAACATTATTCTTAACTCATTTTCCGAGCGATTCAATAATTTTGATAGACTGTTTTTAAAACATTTAAGAAACCACACAGCACAAGCACGTTGGCCAAAATAGTAATAAAGAATTATAATTAAAATAAATTCGAATAAAACTTTTCCAATCGAAAATTATCTTTTGACCAGTTAATTTAAAAATAGGACCATTGTAGTGGCTTTTCTTAAAAAGTTGGCCAAAATTCGCGGGATATTTATGAAAATCCGGTACTCCTTTCTGATTTTCAGATTATCGAATTCGAACAAGTTCTAAAAAATAGAAAAACTCGTTTCGGCCAGCTGTTCGGTAAATGGGACCGGTGTTGTGCCTCGACGCTTGATCCGCAGCGGGAGCTTTCCCGTTCCTGCCGCGAGCCGTCCCCGAGATTAGTTAAAATGTATTCGCCACGGTGAAATTAATATCCATCCATTAGCATTATGCTTGCCGCTATCTCGGGCCAATTTCCTGGAATGTCCGCGTCAGGTGTTCGATTACGGCCGGCGATCTTAACATTTTAGCGGATTCCCTTGACATTGCGGATCTCCGGGGCCCCGCGTACGCATCATTCCGCCGCGGGCTTATATCTTCGTTAATGGCGGCTAATGTTTGCTGAACGTTGTCAGCGGTATACCGGTGCCTCGTAAAGTCCGCTGTTTATACCGCAATTAGCCGTGTTACGATACGTAGGTATGTCGAATCGAGGCGCGACGCTGGCTTTCTTCGCTCCCACGGGCCGTTTCGGGATCCTCTTTTCCCCCGGGATCGTCGAACTCGTCCCGTAATTAATTCGTTCCCGGCGACGATCGGTATCCGTACCGATTCCCGATGCGCGATTCCGTTAAATCGAACCCCGACGTGATTTTTTTTCTCCAACCGGGCGAAGATAGAACGGCGTGTAACTTATTCGGGAAACGTCCGCTTCGCGACATTTATCGAGACGCGTTCGGCTACTAATCTCTGGCCGTGAACACTTTTTGATAAGAGTACCACGAGCGAGGATTTTTCTTTTTTCTTTTTTTATTTATTTTTATTCTTTTATTTAAGATGGCGTCACATGTCGTGGCGTCAGTTTGCTATTGCAGTTAGGATCACGGTTGGGCAGTCATCGATTATTTTCTGATTAGTTTTCTAATTGTTTGCGAGAATTGTAATCGTTGCTAGAATTAATCAGCAGTCGTGATTACATGATCTGTCATCATTAAGCAGTAAACTGTAATCGCGAACGAATGATTATTACTTTATCATTGCATAGTTTAAGCATTAGGTATTCAAGAGAACCACCAATATTCGCAATTTCATATCGGTATAAAAGAATTTTAAAAGATTTTTATATGCATAGATTTGGTAATAGTTTATGTTTTTGGATACAAGAGATTCTTCCATATTCTTAGTTTATGTATTAGGATTCAGTATGCATAGTTTGTAATATTCAGATTCGAGAGAAATTTCTATATGAATAGTTTAAGTGCTAGGATTCAAGCGAACCTCGCATATTCGCAGTTCAATACTAGGATTCAAGATATTTCAATATGCATAGTTCGCAATATTAAGATCCGAAAGAATTTTCCATATGCACAGTTATGCGCTATGATTCAAGAGAACCTCTCATATTAACAGTTTAGTACTAGGATTCAAGACAATTTTTAATACGCATAGTTCAGTATTAGGATTCAAGACAACTTGCAATATGCACAGTTTGTAATATTAAGATTCAAGACAATTTTCCATGTGCACAATTAGGCACTAGGATTCAAGGGAATCTTCCATATTCACAGTTTATGTTTTAGGATTCAAGAGATCCTCTCATATTCACAATGTATGTACTAAGTTTCAAGACAACTTTTAATGTACATAGTTTGCAATATTCGGATTCAAGAGAATTTTCTATATGCACAGTTAGGCACTAAGATTCAAGAGAACCTCGCATATTCATAGTTTAATATTCAGTTTGGAGCAGTTTCCACAGTTTAGGATTCAAAATAACTTTCAATAGGCACAATTTGTAATATTAAGATTCAAGAGAATATTCCATACACATAATTTCAGTACTGAGATTCAAGAGAACATTTAATATGCATAGTTCAAGTACTAAGATTCAAGAGAACCTTTAATGTGCATAGTTTGTAGCATTAAAATTCAAGAGAGCTTTCCATGTACATGTAACAGAATTGTTAATTATGTAACAGAATTTTCCATTTACATAATTTTAGTATTAGGGTTCAAGAGAATTTTCCATGTGCACACTTTAAGTATTAGTATTCAAGAGAATCTCGCCGTACACACATACAATTTAAGTACCAGGATCCAAGAGAACTTGCCACACACATATTTTAACTCATATTAATAATATTAATATATTAATTAATATATAATTATAGTTAATAATATATATATTATTAACTATAATATACATATTAATAACTATATATATATATTATTAACTATATAAGTATATATTAATAACTATATATATATTATTATTATAATATTCTATATTA